AAGTAGTCTCCTATTGCTATTTACTGTTAGCAAAACTTACAAATCAATTCTTATTGAACGTAGAAATAAAATCGTGGCCAGAAAATGTCAATTGGCTTAAAAATGTTTCACACATTTATGAAATGGGAGGAAATGAAATTATACCAGAAGTAGCAACTGTTTTGAAAATAATTGTCGATAAAGGAGGAATAAGTAGCCCTGAAAGTATATCAGATTTAAAATCTATTTTTACTGTGTGTTGGAAATCTACTTTAGTAAGTTCAAAGAATAAATTATACTTCCTATCAATAAAAGAGCTTCTCAGAGTTATTGTAAACAACAATTTTCTGGCACTCCCAAATGCTATAAATTTTTTGAATCATGTAAGTGAACAAAGTATTCTCTTAAAAAATTAATGTTTATTACTTAGCAAATTATTTTATTACGTTTTAGTTTCTTAATGAATTACTTGAAGAGAGTAACAAAGTACCAAAATTAAAATCAATTTTGTTGAATGAGATGAAGCAGTTAAATATATGCAACTTGAGGAAGTTGCAAGAACCATTATTAGAATGTACGCTTCATGGACATGCACTTCGAAAGGATAAACAAATAGAAAACCAAACATGTTCATATATTACAAAAAATTTTGAAACTTTTTATCCAAGTCACATATCAGTAATGTAAGTAGTTTAAGATTGTAGGACATCATCTTGCTTTATGGTTACTTATTAATTTATAATTTCATTAATAGTGATCACAATAGTGATGCTAGTATCAGAGCACTTTCTGTTACACTATTGCACAAAACAATTACTGCAGATGTGAAATTTGCATCAGTGTTTCTTCCAATTGTTTTACAGAAACTAGAAGAGTACAAAAATAAAAGATATTTTAATCATTCTTATACACATAAAATAAAGCATCGTATTATGCAAACTTTATTAATTCTACATCCTATTTTGAATGAGGTAATACAACATTATAAGATTGACAAAGCTGTAAATGCAATACGAATAGTAAAATTAATTTCTTGCAGGTAGATACGACTAATTTGATAGACGTTCTTTGTAATTTAATGCTATTGGAAAGTAATCAACACAGTGTGCGATTAATGCAAGAATGGTTACTGATTAAGATTTTTGTACAGAATGAAAATCTTCGTTATAAACTATGGGCGTTTTTTGAAGAGGTATTAAATAAAATTTTAATCTTTATTCTACAAAAATAATTTACTATATAATATTTAAATCACTCTCAAAATATTTGTACAGGCTATTACAAAACGTCCAGGATGTGTTAGTTCAATAACATGTATATTTTATCATGTTGCAAAACTACTTTCTAAAGTTGATCAATGTAGTTTTATTTCTATGGGACTGCCATATATTACACGTTGTTGTCTAGGACAACAATATAATATGCGACTTTATAACCAGGTACATTGAAAACATGATTTTGATAAATAATGATTTCCTGATCAAAAATATGTTACTAATACGCATACCTCACACAGGTAATTTTTATACAGTTATTTAAAATGTTAGAAAACTCAGACTGTGATAATATTACAAATGAGTACAAAGGATTATACAAAGCAATAATGGAAAATTTAAAAGATGAGAGTACACTAAAAAGTTTCTCCAGAATTCAAAATGACTTCTATCTTTTCACTTTCCATGCTCTACACGATTACAGCTTGCAGGTAACATTATTAAACTTGATATTTCAAGTTATTGAAATTAATGAAAGACTACAAAGTGTAACTAACAAATCCTTCCTTTTTGCATTTATAGACAATATTTTTTGAGTTACCTCGTTTAACTGATATGGATCAAAGTGAATGGATTAGCCCAGTTGTATTTGAACAATTGAACTTCAAAGATAGTCAAAACCATCCCCTTCAAATGTATAATTTAACAGGCTTATTATCAAAAATTAAAACATCGATCTACATAACAAAATCTACAAGTATGTTTTAATCATCATAATAATTTAATTTACAGAGTGTGTCATATTATAATTAATATATATATATATAAGAATACTATGTATATTAATTCCTTTAATATCTTTAAAATGCAGCTGATTCAGAATTTTTTAAAAAAACTTCCGAAACGAATATTGAAGAGTTAAGTAATGTTCAAAAGAAAATTGATCCTTCAATATCTGTAAATTTGTCGCAAAATTATATTTCTCCATCAATTAGGGAATCTATTTCCCGAAAGAAAATATTACTTCATGAAGAAGGTATCATAGTTGTAGCATGTCTCGTTGACCGTACTCCAAATTTAGGAGGACTTGCACGTACTTGCGAAATTTTTAATGTGAAAGAACTAGTTATTGCTAATTTGAGTCAAGTCAGAGACAAAGATTTTCAAAATCTTAGTGTGTCAGCAGAAAACTGGATAAATATTATAGAGGTATTTCTCTTCATGTATTTTTATATTGTTGAACTTATAACATCTAATTTGAAAATGAATTAATAATAGAAATTTTTATAATTTTGTAACCGATATAGGTGAAACCTCACGAATTGAGTAAATACCTTTTGGAAAAAAGAGACAAGGGATGGTCGTTAATAGGTGTGGAACAAACAGTTAATAGTGTAAGCTTATTGGATATGAAATTTAAAAAGAAGTCAATTCTTATTTTAGGGTAAGTAAATGAAAAAAAGATTAAAAGCTTCTTTATTTTATTGTATATATAAATTCTTTTTTCAGAAACGAAAAGGATGGTGTTCCTGCTAATTTGATACCTTTATTCGATACTTGCATAGAAATACCTCAAGTTGGTGTAATTCGTTCATTAAATGTTCATGTTTGTGGTGCTATATGTGTATGGCAGTACGCAATGCAACACACATTCTAGCCAGAAATACTAATAATTAATCTTTAACAGTGAAATAAAATAATTTCAAATCAAAATAATGTATAATTTTTGTATTGTTCAAAATGTATCTATGTACATATGATAAAACTTGGAAAAAGATATATAGGTCTTTTTGAAATAAACTGTTTGGCTCATAAAGCTTTATTACACAGGATAAACTGTTTGGATTGATATTTGAATTTGTATATTGCATTATAATGTAATTAAAATAAGAAAGTGATATTAATAACAAACTGATATTAATATTTATTTAAAAAAATGGTACTCCTTTCATGAGTTTGTATTTATAATAACATCTATTATTTATACAGAAATTATGTCTATGTAATTTAATTACAATATATGTTTAAACATCGTAACCAATAAGATGTCGTTTACCGATACATTCACCTACGTAGAACCAGCATAATATTTCAATGGTAACTAAAGTATTCAACCAGGCTTCACGTACTGTAACCTCACGGTATTTCCCAGTTTTAGCAGAATTAATCAGGCTTTGGATGCTATTCTTGATGACTGGTATATCAGACACCTTCGGTGGTACCAATTCTACTTTGCCATAATATATAGTTTTTTGAAGAAGTACTTTCGAATTGGCAAGGGTCACTAAAATGAACACAAAATCAATAACGGTTCATACATTATTCTTCTACATTAATTATACAAGTTATTGCAAGTTATGGTAATTTAATAATGTAGTATTTTCACACAACCTTCAAAATATTTGAAAATATATATTTGACAGATTATATGCCTGTAAATTATTCACTCGACCTTTATGATAAATTTTAAGAACTCAATTAGGAAAACTTAAGTTATATACTTGAAAATTTAACTGAATGTTGTATTAAATGAAGTAAGAATTCATGTTATATAATAATCGGTTGTAATTCAAATGCGAATGATATAACATTAAAAGTAATGAATAATATTGACAGAAGATTTGTCATTAAACTATTTAACAGATTTAACACGTACATTTCCATAGTTTTAACGCTGCTTCACGTGCTGCCATTTTCAGTTCTTAAAAGTCAAACCCTTTCGAGAAGAACTTGGTTGCGAAAAACAACTGTCCGATATCCTGGCAGTAAGCCAGGGGAAAACAATTTTATAGGGAACTTTCGGGGCAGCGTTTTAGCTGCCATCTATAGTAAGTTATCTACATATGTACATACATTTAGTTTTCACGGGAAAAGGTGGCAGTATGGTGGCGCTGCCTTTACGATTTCACTTGTGAGTTTAGACCATTTCTTACATCGCCTTACACCGTGGCTTAGATCAATAGTTAAGTTTGGATAAATACCATAATTATACCGACACAAACGTACATAACCTTTTGTAATGCTTGGTAGTAAAATGTGCTCCAATTCTTGAAAGGATTGAGTTAAAAAAGAGGAGAGACAATGGTGATCTCAATGAAATTACATACCTGTGCAAAAACTTTATTAAATCTGTACATATGTAGACTGAACAGGTTTTCAATGGAATACATACGGAACCTGCATAATCTCAATCAATCAAGATTTTCTAACATACAGTGTAATCAGAATAATTTTCCGCAATTATATGGAATTAACAATTTTTCCACCACAAAAACATTGTTAAAAGGTAAAGATCGCGGGAGAGATAAGAAAAAGGTACAGGTTATGGATATTAATCCTGATGAATTAGATGGGGTTATAAATGTAGATCGTATGAAGTTACTGCTTGACAATGCATTTGAAGACTATAAGAATCAATTGATAAAACATGTAAGTTTGCGTACCAGTTTGGGTGCTATTGAAGAATTAATGATAAAATATGATGGTACTGAATATCAACTTCAAGAAATAGTAGAAATTAGTCGAAAACCTAAACTGATAGTATTGAACATGTCTGCCTTTCCTCAAATAATTCCTGATGTCCTGAAAACTCTGTCGAAATCTCAAATGAATTTGAATCCACAACAAGAGGGTACCGTGATTTATTTACCAACACCAAAGTAAGTGGGTCATATATTTAATATCAATATATTAAATTTTCAAAAGTTTATAGGACAATAGTAACTTTGTTCTCTTATTCGATAGAGTCACTAAAGAACACAGAGTAAATTTAGCAAAAACAGCAAAAGCATATTTTGTGAAGTGCAAAAATGAAATCAACGATGTGCGAAATAAGTATATAAAGACAGCGAAAAATAAAGAGGGTTTGTCTACAGATTTAGTTTTCAGAGCTGAGAATTACATAAGCAATATAACTCATGACTACATTAACAATGCTGAGCAGTTGTTGCAAACAAAAGAGAAAGAACTATTAGGTGATTCATCGTAGTTATTATATTTAAACAGCAATGAAACTTTAAAGTGAGATAATATTCAACTGTACATATACACAAAATATATAAAATACTTATATTTTCACAATACTTTTCGTATTTGAGACATCTTTTTTATTCTTAATTTATTATTATGCTTATCTGCTTTAGAACAGAAATAGACTTTTATTCTCTTCACATACTTGTTCTTGTTTACTTTATCTTTTCTTCTACAGTAATTTTTTCAATTTTTAACCATTTACAATAAAACGTATTTAAGTGTTTAAAAATAGATATAATGATGAAAGTAATAGTTACCATAAACTTATATGCAATTAATAGAATATACATTAACTATTGTTTCTAATATAATGCAGTAGAGCAGTGCAAAGTGTCTGGGAAGCAGTTTGTAAAATCTCTTTTTTGTGAAATCCTATACTCAGTCTTACATGGTTGTGACATTTTCCCGTGTACGAAAATCTTACCCCAGGAATAGCTGATACTCCATATTTCTCTTGACACCACTTGATAAAATCAGCACCATTCACTCCTAAAGAAAATAATATGTATTTTCATTTGCTACAAAATAGTTGCGTCGGGTATTGTACATAATACTTACCTAATGGAAGATGAAGCCATACAAAGTAACCACCTTCCGGTCTTTGGAATGAGCAGCATGATGGTAAATAGCGATTTAACACATCGCATAATGTTGTTAATCGTTCCTGCAAAACAAATATTCTTTTTACACTGATATTCGTATTACCCTTACTTTTATACGGTTATAAGTTAAATTACTTTAAATAATTTGGTTTCATTTCGGAACGTACCCTGTAAATTTTAATTAGTTTGTCGAGATACTCATCCTCAGTCCCTAGATGCAGTAAACTCGCAATAACGCCAGAAACGTAATTATTAACAGCACCACCGCTGTGTAAGATCCCTCTGGCGGTTTTCAAGATCATGAAAAAATCAAATAAAACATTTTGTCTAGTGACGCATTTTAAAATGTATATTATAAAATGTATGTATTGTATATATATTATTATATATTAAATATTATAGTATAATCATTTTAAAATGTAGCTGTAAAATTATAAATTCAAAAAACCTTACGACGATCTGAGAATTTTCGTTACTCGTGGAGGACATTCCATCCAACCGCAGCGAATCGCCGGCGAAAGAATCTTCGAAAATGATCCATTCGATATTATATTACCACCTTTGTATTCAGCATCCTCTGGATCATCGTAATAATATAATCGACGAGGCGGATTACCATCTCCATAATAAAGTAAATTATAAACGTCGTCGCAGGTAACCAGCATAGAATAATTTCGCGCTATTTCGACCAATTTCTTGCAGCTCTCTACAGAAAATTAGCAACCCTCATAGTCCGCAAATTATGTAACTATATGATCGATTATATATATATACCAAGGATATAGAATTAATTGTTCACCTGGAGGCATTGTGCTTCCGGTAGGGTTGTGGAAAATAGGAATCGTATAAAACATAGCCCAAAATATTTTTTCGTCAGTGAGAAGAAATTCACCCTTGCTCTTCTCCTCGGCGACTATCCTCTCAAATGCATCCAAATCAACTATGTCGTTCTTCATCGGCACTGTTACGATCAAAATTATACTTAGTACTTGAATCATTCTTCATGACTTACACTTCGATTGTGATTTATTTAAATCTTTGATTTGTTTTAATCATTTCTAAAGAAAGCGATTTTCGTTCGTCGAATTATTCCACAATGTTTAAACTGTTATAATTTCATAAAAACTAGTCGTACAACAATAAATTTAGATTCATTTGAAAGCTTAAAGCCTCCACTTTTACAATTCTGCGTTCATTTCTTTCGTAATATGCTTCCATACGGTATGCCAGGCGGAAATCTGAAGATATGAATTTACCCGAAAATTACTGGAAAAATTCAATACAGTGGTTAAACGAAATCGTACACCAAGTACAAGGGGTCGTTGTAAAAAGGACGTTTCGATCTTCAAAGTCTATGTTAAAACCGTTCAGAAAAAATTTTTTAACATTTTCAAGATAGAGCATGTCTCTAGTTTTTCATCTGCTATATTGCGCAAAACTATATTGCAAAACAATAAACTATGCATCGCGAAGGTAAAAGCTTTAAGCTTTAAAATGAGTCGAGATTGATTGTTGTACGATTTTTTCTTACGAAATTACACCGGTTCGAACGTCGTCGATTGTTCGAAAATCGGAAATTAGTTATCGGTCAGTTTAGATTTCCCGGAGCCACTGTATGTATACCTGTTACTATTTTAACCATTGGGAATTGCTTGAACACATCTAAAGCAATCATATAAGTGGCTTCTTCTACGAAGATCACTCCATTCGGCGAGAGAACGGTGTTCAGCAAAAGTTGAAGGCCGTGCGTGGCGCCGCAGGATAAAATCAAGTTTTCTCTTTTCACCGGATCGCCGTAACGTCTGGTTAAAAACTTTGCCAATTCATCGCGGTATTCCCATAAACCTGCACTGGGTCCATATTGAAACAGATAGTACATTCCCTCTTTTCGTTCTTCTTCCTAAGAAGAAGCATAAGCGTGTAATGTAATCACGATGCAATCGTGTAAGAAACGAACACCATCGTTTCAAACACAAGCGAACTATAAAGAGAACTTGAAGGAAAATTTATAAATTGTTCGATCAATTTCTTGGGGGTTTCCATTTCGGTAGTTCATCTCTTGAACTCTAGATTCTCTAGAGTACTTTATGAAAGTGAAATTTCTAAGGCCAGTAGTATTAGAATAGAATAGAATAGTAATAGAATAGAAAAAGGTTTGATCAATTATCAGTATCCTTCATTTGTATCGATCTGGTTTCTATACCGTTGTAGTTTTTATTGTTATTATAATTATTATGTATATTGTATTTATAATTGTTATAATCGGTATCCTTCATTTGTATCGATCTGAGTTCTATACCGTTGTATTTTATTATACGATGAATTGTTATTACAACTATTATATATATTGTATTTATAATTGTTATAATCGTTTTTCGTTTGCTAACAAATAAACTTGGAAAATTCGGGTTCCTATATCTCTTCATTTTTCTATAATTCTCAATTTTTACCAGTTTATGGTTCGTTGCTATTCGTATCATATCCGGCAAATCTTGAAGTAGATCAGGACCAGGTGCACCAACCGATAGGTTAATGACAGTTTCATTGTAAACATTAAATATGTGATTTCCATCGAAAAGGTGCCTCAGGGGTGGATCTTCTATTGCCTCCATTATACGTTCCTGCAACACAACACAGGTCTTATCGTAGCTTTCGAACAACAGGCGATTCATCGCGATTATGCTTGCTACGAAATAATATTCATTTTGCTCGAACGAAATTGAATCTTGTCCACACCGATAATAAAATAAAACCATAACATTTAGTTGTACAACCTAGTCGAGTCTGCGTCACAGACAACACCATTCGGAAGACTGATTAGTAAATTTCAAATAATTAATGTGCAGATGAATAAATTAATCATTTAATGAACCTTTCGGTAGGTAACGGTGGATTTATTTATAGCATTCGCTGCAATTCACACGCGAAATATGTATAACGGACGTGACAGCGTAAACATCTGCGTCGCACAACGATCTATTAGGAACTGAAGATAACAGCTGGAAAAGATACCGAGCGGAAAAAGAGTATATTCTTTAAACTTCGTTCAATGACTCATGGAATTCTGTAGATTTGTAGTACTTACGCTTGTGTCACGCTGTTACATGGTCGCATGGTTGCGTAATCGGCTCTTCCCTTATGAATTTGCGTGGAACAAGAATCTGGTTCAAGCGTTTATTCGGCCTTGTGCGATTTGTTCCGCTCCATTGCCTCGATAAAGTGTACACAATTTGCGTGGGCTATCGGGTACTCGAGCACTATGCTTTCTTTAACAATTGTTCGCGTTCATCGAAAAATATTAAGTCGCTTTGCACATTCATTTCTGCATATTATTGCATCGAACCTATGACCGTGTTATCAGTTTTACTAAATTATGCTCCAGATTCATCGGGCAAATCACCCGATTAACTCGAATAACTTAAATCAAGAAATAAATGCGAGAGTGTTTGGCAAAATAAAACCTTAATTCTGAATTATTATCGAAATCTAAAATATAATCTTTTTCGTGTATATTTCGCTGTTTCTCATTTTACAAGTTTGCCCTGAACGAATTCTTACACGAGATACGTATAATCTAAACGAAGTCTACGAACATCGAGGATGGGAGGAACAACGACGTAAGAATGATGGTGATTCTTTATTACAATAATTTTTTTACGATAACACAATGATATTATAAAGTTTTATAAATTCTATAGGTCCACAACCGAATGGCAAATGCAATTCCTCGCAGCTAATTATTCCGGCGATCAAACGTATTGTACAATTTCTAGTTCACATTCATGCTCTCCATACGTCTTCGGTTTACAAAAGAAAGAGAAACACAAAATCGTCGAACTAAGGGGATGGATGGGTGGGTCAGGGTGTGGGTGGTTACGGGATAGAGGAAAAGTTCTCGCGCGAGTGTTTCGTTCTTCCGATCCCTTAATAAAAAGCATCGAATTTCGGCGCACACGTTTTTCTACAATGATACACGCTGATCCGCACGGCGACGCGACGAATGATCGTATATATTTTACAAAGGGGAGAGAAATCGCTAACGTAACTATTTCATAACACTTAGAACAGTAGACGCAATGTACACGATACGTATTTGCTTACATTAAGAACAAGATTCTGCATTCTGCGCGCGGCGAGATTGGAAATCCGTGCGACAACGTTTTCGCATGCATCAGCGACGAGCTGGCCGCGTTCGAAACAACAAGACAATAAAATAGAAGAGAAAACAATTTTCTTATAAAACTTTTGTTTCCATTTATCACAGAAAACCGCACGGCGTTTGATTCCCTCGAAAAGTTTCTTATACTTCGCGGACAAGATACCTCGAGTTCGTGGAATGTTTATCCCCGCGTGAACAATTTTTAACTAATTTTCTCTCTCACAGAATTTTCTCGGCAGGTAGCCCTCGATCGAAATTTCATTTCTTACATAGTTTCATTAGCGGCATCGATATCTTTCCTTCTGTTTTATACGTTCTTCAGGCTATCGCCGCTAATTTCATTGTTCGTCGATCTTGTCCGCCCAAGTATACCATCGTGAATGAGATCGTCAATCTCGCAGACGCCCGATGCACACAGGTGAAAACAGTGTTCGCAGCATCGCGCGTTCCCTGTACACAACATGGCACGTCCTAATCCTAATCGCTTTCCTCCGTTGTTGTCTTTTTCTTCGTTTCCTCTTTCCGGCGAAACAAAACAAGAAAAGAAAAGACGCCACGGATTAACGCTTAATTTACTCAAGTACATTTCCGTTTCTTTACATTCGTAAGAGTCTTAGGCGCTAGTGGTCGCTAGTCTATTTACAAGACGCGTTCTTCTTTCGTAAAAAAAAAACACGCATCCGTGCTTGGCTACGGCCAATTTTATTGGTCCCATTTCGCGGAGGCGATGGCATACAAAAATATTTAGGCGATCCAGAACGTTTTTTAAGTGGAACGGTCCCTTTTTCGTTTCCTCTAGGTCCCACGGGCACGCGATCCTCGTGTCGCGATGATCGTTACGGTCAATAAAGTAGGACAATCGATGTCGTTGCAGTGTCGTACTGTATCGTGAAACTAATTAGAAAGAGAGAGAGAGAGAGAGAGAGAGAGAGAGGGGGGGGGAGAGAGAGAGATATAAAACGACAGGCTGGAACAGTGAGATGTTTTCAAGTGTCCACGAGAAATATTAGAACGTTTCTTATCACAGTCAGCGGCGAACCGCGCAGACGTTGCGCACCCGGGGAAATTTCATCGTGACTCTCGCGATCATTAAACAGCTCCAAGTACCATTTTTGATGTCTCGTGATTCGTGATGGATCACGTGAAACGGGAGATTCCGGCCAGCCGATTTTTCCAACGCAGGAAACGAGGCGAAAGGGGAAAGCTCAAACTCGGGGGCAGTTGATTTCATTCGAAAGACAGAGGGGCCCGTGTTCGTCCAATTGGAATGGCTCTTTCTCTAAAAGGCAGTAGCGGATTTACGGACAAGCTGTGTAGGCCGACTTTCGAGTTTTCGAAGCTACGAATCATATCGCAGAGATGTGTATTCTACCTTTCGAAATTTATTCCGCCATACGAACATTATTCTAGCTTTCGAAGAGAATTCGCTGTTACGATGTAGCTAGCATAATCGTGAATCCGCCATAGGGAAAGAGGCTATGCGCGTTGAACGCGGACCGTCGAAGTCAGGTAAAGGTTGAAGGGTAGACAATCGCTTATGCCATTTACTGTACGTCGTTTCTTAGATTAGCCTTAAACAAGTGGTAGACAGTACTTTATTTACAAGCCACTGCGAATGGCACATTAAGATTATCTTTGCACTACTCGTTGGTCGCGTACGCAACAGTTCTTTGTGCACGAGACACGCCCTCCCCTGGATCGGGGAGCTAGCACAGTTCTCGCGATCTACGTCTAATCACAATCGAAACACGGCACTCGGGCGAAGTGTCCTTTTCTAAGTACTCTGGGGTTTCCTACGCACTAGGAACCGAATTTGTCGCTGCGTTTCCGAACGATGCCAGTTCTACGGTTCTGTACAGCGGAAACATAGTAATCTCGTGTAGGAATCGTCGTCGGAATCAAACGGTCGTCTCGTTCTTCCTGAGAGGCTTCAGCGGCTGCAACTCCCGTTCCAGGCGATCGAAGTCGTTGTAATACTCGTGGTCGGATTCTTCTTCCGAACTCCTCTGTCTGACCTGCGAGCCGAAGGTCCCGTTCGTTAGGACCTTCTCCAGGTCCGGTGTCGGGATTCCCAGCGTCTGCGGGGTTAACGGTCCTTCGTCCTGCGACATTATGTACTCCGGGTTGTCCAGGGACGTCTTCCCTTGGATGGTCAGGAATTCGGGGTACTTTCGGTAGCCGTTGTTGATCCGCTTCGGTTCTATGTCTGGAATAAAAAAAAAATGGTAAATGCTTGGAAACTAAAATTCTTTACGAGAAAAGATGTAGTTAGGAATTTAGGATGACGTTTGTAGTTACCTGCTGGCTTCGAGTCCCCTATGAGATCCATGTACTGCGTTGTATTCGCTGGCAATTGCGGCGATGGCATTAAATAATCGTCTTCGTCTAATGGCAAGTCTAGCTTCAGGTTTCCTACTTGAGCCTGCTGGTGCACGGAGTTCACGTCCCCGTCGTAACAGTCGTCTGTTACGTCGCAATCTAGAAATAACAATAAGTCAGGCTACATTGTATCTAGAAACTTTCGTTCTTTACAGATAGTATCGGTACGAAGTACAGTAATGTCTCCCTAATTGACGCTCAGATTGTGCAGAAAAATGGACAATTTGGGAACAGGAGACACGATTATTCGAGCCTTGTGGTTTATTGTTATAGTTATAAATTGTCCACAATTATAAAAACGAGCCATAAGGCTCGAACAATCGTATCTCCTTTTCCAAGATTAGAGAGACATTACTGTATTCCTTTTCCCTTGTAGTTGCTTGAAAATCGAAGATCGAAACGGATGACTGAAAGCTCGAATTAACTTACCTCTGACGCTGATCATTTTCAACGGATCCGAACAGTATCTCGAACTGGAGCTGTCCGATCCAACAGGGTGGCCACAGTGTCCGTTCGGTGGTGCGAAATGCGCGTGCTGGCCGGAATTTCCAGGCTCGTGCGACGCATTACCGTTTCGATGATTCGCCCCGTACCTCAACAGCTCCCTGTCCCAGTTTTGTTGATTTTGGGGCGTGGGAGAGTCGGCGGCGAGAGGCTTGCCATTGGGCCAGCAGGTTTTTACGGGCGTGTTCGGCGGAGAACCGGAAGTGTTCGACGTTGAAAGTCCGGGTGGGATCGGGGCTCTAGATTTCGGTTGGAGGTACTCGTCCGCGTCCACTAACGCCTCGGGGCCGTCCGATGCAAGATTCCGTATCATTTCCTTTTCGTCCTACGATCAATTGAAAATTAATATCCTCCAATTAACAAGCTAGTAAAAATATTAACCCTTAGCGCTCCGTTGGCTCCGCTATGGAGACATCCGTCATTTGTTCCGTAAATCCGAAGGCTCTGCTGCGGAGCCCAATGTTTTAGCATGATTACACCGAAGATGCTATCTTTTTGTCGACGTTGGCAATTGTTATTTGTAGTGAAAACGTGCTTAGCGTGTGTACCATTACGATTAAAACATTCTTTGCCCATTTTTATACTTGGCAACATAAAATGAATAAAATCAAACGCTTTCATAAGGACGTGTAATTTTTTCCGCTCAAAATAAGACTTCCTTTATCTCGGGCGCTTTGCTCCGAAAATGTGCCGGAGTTGCTGGTAGTGATATTTTTCAGAAAATCGCTGTTCAACTTTATTTTAGAACGTTCGAAGAATATTTACTAATTTTTAATTCAATTTAATTATTAATCGAGCCGATTCCAGTGAAGATTAACGATAAAAAAATTCCGGCAAACTCATGCAAAAGATATTTTTGTTTCAATAATTCCGTATCCAAACAGAATTCAACAAACGATTCGCAATGCTAATTTTATAATAAATCGCGTCAAAGAACACGAGGGATATATTTATTTAAGAATTGCGAAGAATATCGTT